CGCATGGTGCTAAGTGTAATCTGCACAGGGAATTCCTGGGTCCTCTGTTCTAGAAGTTCCTATTCTTTCTTATAAAATATGGCTTCAATTTATTGATCTCTAGAGACAACAAGAAAAAAAATGCATCATGAACACACTGTCATGTGAAACTTAAAAAAAAAAAATTACTTACTTGTTACAGGGTCTCGCTATGCAGCTCAGGCTCACAGTGATCTTCCTGTCTTAACCTCCCCAGCAGTGGGATTAAAGGTGTGTGACACCACACTGGATTTTGGGACTGGCACGGCATGCCTAGGTTCCTGGGGCCAGCACGGCATGTGATACTGGGGATTGAACTTGGTCCTCACACCTGCCAGATGGGTGCGTAGACCACTGAGCTATCTCCCCAGTACAGTCATGTGAAACTTTTGAATTGTCAGTCTTTTGAACGGTGATCTGATTTCTCAGAGCGTCACGATGGTTTCTCTATATTATAAAATAGTAAATACTTTTGGGTCTTCTATTGCGTTTAGTGTTATGTTCTAGGTACACGTACTGGGCAGTAGTGTTTCCCTTATTTTACAATCAGAGAATTGAGGTTAAGAGAGACAAGGAAATGTTTAAAAGGTCAGAAGGCTTGAAAATCCCAAATCTGGATACTGCTTTGGAAAGTATTTGTGCATGGGAAATGACAGCAAGGATGTTTGTTTCTTTTGCTTCAACAAAAGAGCATAGGAATATAATTTTGTAGAAGAAAAACACAGAGTCCCTTGTGGTTTCAGTGTGTTGGGATTCCCTCTTTGTGCTCTCTCCTCTAACAACGCTGATATAATAGGAGCTACTCGGAAGAGAGTGGGACTATTCCAGACCACTCTGGCCAGGGCGAAACTACCACTCCAGCAGCTAAAAAACTGCATTTCTCTTCATGTTTCTAGGTCTTGTCTTCAGTTATTTGTTGTCTGTCTTATCTCATTAGTATACAAATTCCATATCAGGGAACCAGTCTATATGCCTCACTCCTGTATTTGCAGGATTTGGAACACTGCCTGGCTAACAGCAAATGCTTAAAACAGGTTTGCAGAATGAATGGTATGTATGCACCATAAGGCGTTAAAGCAGTTTCTCTTTTTTTGCATTATTGTTAAGAAATTTTAAGCTATAAAGAGTAGACTTGTTAGATATTAATTTTTCATAAATATTAATATTATTAGCCAGCAAGTGAACTCAGGTAGGCAATCTATTTAAGCTCAAATAATAACCTTCTCCCAATTTTTTTGGTTTCCTTGAAATTGTCCTGAACTTCCCCCCCTCCCACCACCACCCAAGTGACATCTATTTTGGCACTTAAATCACATGAAATGAAAATGGTGAGGTTTCATTTCTTGTTTCTAATTTTTGGAACCTCCAAGAGTGTTTCTTGGTTTTGCTGATTATTTTGCAGCTTCCAGGTTCTCTCCAGATGTGAGGAAATTTGCTTACTTAGTTGAGATGCTTGTACTTACTTGATGAAGTACTTGATTCCATCTGCTGTGTAAGCTTCCTCCCACCCATAAGGTAAGCCTGGAGTGAAAGCAAACCAAAAATACACTTAATAAGATGATGAAGATAACTCTGTTTCCTGGACGCAAACCTCCCCCGCCCCCCATTTGGACAATTATTTCAGTCCATTTTTTTGGTACGAAATAATTTTCCAGAAAGGGGGAATTAAGACAATTCAATGAGCTTTTTGTTCAGCATCTTTACAACACAATAAATAAGTCTTGAACACTTAACAATCTGCTTCCGTTGCAATAACTGGATTATGACTTGTCATTTACATGTGGTGAGCATTTTTGTCAGCAGGATTCAAGCAAAAAATTCGTGTTGCAGCGGATGGTGTTTGCCTGAGGCAGAAGGCTGGACAAGACAGCCTCTGCTTGTCTATTCTGGCTCAAAGTTTCTTTAATTGGCTTCCTTTGCATTCTTTCACTCAGCTCCACAGGGAATCATGCATGAATGCCAGATCAGCAGGGGTCTGAAAGTAGCTTTTGGACAAGACAAAAATTTCTTACTAAGTTTGAAAGTTTAGCCAAGTGATTTACAATGGATTGTGGCATTTCACTCTGTTAATTAAGAATTTTGTGCACTAAACATAAACGGCCAAACAATATGCTAAACTTAGCTTCCATTTCTGTAACGGGATTGAGAATAATTAGCTAAAAGAGAAAGGGAATGAAGTAAGCCAGCAGCATGTGGCCTATCCCATAAGTGAGTGTATTTTTTTGCCCTTATTACATCAAGAGACGGCCCGCTGTTGAGGCAGCCACAGTCTCTTACATGCTAATTCTGGATGGTATCCAGCGAAAACACAGTGGTTTCCACTCCTTTACTCCATCCTGGACTATGACCTCTTGGAGCATGTTTGTGACACTGGCCTATCGTGGCTCCTTTGATGAGAACAGCGTGCATTAACACACTAAAGAAAACTGTTCGGGTAGCCTACATTTTGGAAAATATCTGAGCTTCAGCAACAAATCCTTGGCTCCCATTCGCCCAAGCAAAAGCAAGGGGCAGAGGGAGAATATAGAGACAGTTCAACTTCCTGAATGCCATAAATTTGACTTCCTCACTGTTCAGCTCTTCAAAAAATGCTCTGAGAATCAGCTTTTAGGATACTGACTTTGTAACTAAGAAAAATAGGCAATTGAAAACAAGCTTTATGTTGATTTCCAGTCTTTTAATACAAGCTGTACAAAATGAAACCAACTGCAAAAATTCCTACATTTTCTCTTAATGAATTAATGTTTCTATTCTAAGTAGAAAAGAAGTGCCTCTGAGAACTCAGCATAATCAAATGGACGTTTTCTACTATTGAACTATCACAGAGAAAGTAAGCACTATTCGTTTAGCTTCCAAATGCTTTCATAGATTATGTTAACTGTATGAAAAATAAGAAACTAGTCAATCTTCTTTAAAAAAAAAATCCCACTTGTTTTCTCAATACAGGGATCTTATCCTAAAATAATCTCTACACATTACTTCATCCTTAGGGATATTTTGTGACAACAGTTATCAAATAACCATTTTAACTCAACTGCTTATGAATTATACCTTTATACACGTGTCATGATATTAGAATTTTCATTTACTAACAGGAAGTAAATAATGTAGGAATTACTATTCAGTGGCATGGGAGTCATGGTATTCCGATATCAATCTTAATTTTTAAGTGAACCTATGGATTAAAAAAATATTACCTATACAGTGTACATTTTTCTTTTCATTAAAATACCTGTGATTTAAGAAATTAGAACAGATATACTTGTGCTGACCAAACAAGTCATTTAGTAGGCAAATACCTTTTTCACATAACTTTTACACAACCTGTAGCTGCCCTTGCCTTTTTAATCAGAAACTCTAGTGTTTCTGAGCTCATTTTGTCATAAAAGCAAAGTTATTATGTACTGTCATTCAGACTGAAGGCTTGAGGTGCTGGAGAAATGACTTAGTAGAAAAAGCGCTTGCCCGGCAAGTGTAAGGGCCTGAGTTCAAACCCCAGTTTCCAAAAAAAAAAAAAATAAATAAATAAAAAAAAAAAAAAAAAAAAAAAAAAAGATTGAGGGCTTGTCATAATGACATAAAACCTTTATACTTGTGAATCTATAATGTTTCCATTTTTCCCTTTTCATATTTGTCTTAAATCTGTTACGACAACTGTAACCACCTGAAGTTGGTCCCCATCGGAAGGGTTCTTCTGTGAATCCCCACATCGCATTCTTTCCACTAGAGAGCATCTGTTTCCAATCAAAAACTTCATGCTGATGACTCTAAAAGTTGCATGAGCACCTTGCCAAAGTAAAAGTCTGGCACAGATTGAACTGAGATCACTGGCTGTTACCTCGAACTCCACGGGTCCAGAATCAAACTCATCGGGTTTCCATTCAAAATGTTTTCCTTTCCGATTTCTCAGTCTATTGATGTACCAAATACCTTCTTTGTCATATTTGGCCCCATGGTTCATTCATGAAACATATACTGGTCATTTGCTGTGTGATCAGCATTTTGCTTTGTCCTTGATCTATGATGATGTGCACAGATTTTGATCTCATAAAGCCTTAAACATAATCCTAAGTACATATATTAAATATAAGGACTATGAAGAAAACACGTGGCATATGATGAAAGAACAACTCAGGGCACAGAAAAAGGCTAACTTCCCTAACACATTAGTTATACCTACAAATAAGAAAAAAATCAGTAACAAATACGATCCATAATAACAGGTAACAGAGAAAGCATTTGGGACACAAGAAACACAAATGACCCAAACACAGGAAAATGTTTAACTTTACTCCCAATAAGTGACACAGATGTTAAATAACTAGTAGATGCTGTGTTCATCTATCAGATTAGCAAAAATTAAAGAGCAGTTTTGAAAGACATGGTATTGAAGGTGTGAAGAGAAAGTCTTTTTTTTTTTTTTTTTTTTTTTTTGTCATTTTGAAACAGTGATATCTTGCTATGAAGTTCAGGCTGGCCTTGAGCTCACTCTGTAGCTGAGGCTGGACTCCAACTCTCTAGGA